GACTACAGATACAGAGAGATAGAAGCCAGGTGTCATGCAACAAGAAAGATTGTTTTGTCTTTCAATTCTTTTAAAGTTGTGTGACTATGGTTGGTAATAATGGATTTTTATTTTTTACTTGTGAAAGTAATTTATGTAATTATTAATTATAAAAACTTCAAATAATATACAATATCGTTCAAAAGTTTATGGTTGGTTAGATGTTAAAAGTGTTTTTGAAGAGGTCTCTTATACTCACCAAGGCCGCATTTATTTAATCAAAAATACAGTAAAACTGAAATATTGTAGTTACCATATAAAATAACTTTTCTATTTTAAAGGGGTCATATGATGTTGCTAAAAAGAACATTATTTTGTGTATTTGGTGTAATGAAATGTGTTTATGCGGTTTAAGGTTCAAAAAACACATTATTTTCCACATACTGTACATTATTGTTTCTCCTCTATGCCCCGCCTTTCTGAAACGCGTCGATTTTTACAAAGCTCATCGGTCTGAAAAAGCGAGGTGTGCTCTGATTGAGCAGAGGCGGCGGGCTTGAGAATGGCGCGGCCGGCGGATTCGACGAAGGAGCATCCGGCGGGCTTGCGGCAACCACATGTGACGACCCTGGGCTGGACTCCGCTTCATCAACTACAGCGCGAAGTTGATGTATTTCCTCAGCGACCAGCACAGATCAGCTCTAGGCATGACGAAGCGGATATCGTCCTCTTTTGGAAGGCCAAACAAAGTAGTTTCGCTTTCACAATGAAACACACGCGCCCTCACGACATGGCGGCGGCAGCAACAACAATCCTACAGCGAGAATAAAAGTTACGCCTTCTTTCTTTGTGTGAACATTTGGGCGGCGTTATGCACATCTTCCCACATCGTGACGTAGACATGTTGGGGGCGTGTTAGAACGAGCCGTTTTAGGTAGGCGTGGTTGACTCTCTTTGGATTTGAGACTTTAGTCTTTGCAACTTTACAGATCTTCTTTATGCACCAAGAGCTTGTAACACTCCAAAGAGAAAGGAAAAATTGAAATCGCATCATATGACCCCATTAAAGGTTCTTTATGGAACCATTTAGACAAAAAGGTTCTTCTATGGCATCGTGAAGCACCTTTATTTCTAAGAGTGTACGCCTAGATTGACAAACTCACCAAAGTGTTTCATTGGCTGTGGGGTAGAGATGTATACGATCACTGGTCATCTGCTGGCTCAGCGACAGGATGAGAGCAGCAAAGTATACTATAGGACAAAAAATACAGACGGTTTAATCAAAAAAAGCTATTTCTGTCTTTGTGTTGTCAGAGGCAGTGTTATTTTAGTATTGAGATTAAAATGAGAAACATTGCCTTAACAACTAGCTGAAATAAATAAAAAGGTTTTTATATGTTTTTTTCTTTCTTTTCTTTTTAATGTTTTTAGTTTGAGTAAACTATAATAACTCTGGTAAGAGGTAAGTGTTGTGTTGATACAGTTTATTGATTCACTCACAGAAGGAAGCAAGAGCCGCTGGATCAAGAGTGAGAAATCCTCGAAGAGCCATGGAGGCTTTGGCCAGATTCACCCTGATGTAAAGAGGGTACAGATAACTCACTCTGAACATGAGTCACATCTTCAAACACTCAGATTAAGAAATTATACAACAGTTCATTTTGAAACATTCACTTATCAGTTGTCTTGTAAGTCAATGATTCGATCTTAGTGCAGGTTTTCCCAAACTGGGGTTTGCAAACACATGGTGGTTCGTGAGTTGATGAAAACTTAATAAATAATTAAATAATGAAAATGTAATGAACACTAATTACTTTAAAATAAAAACAATCAAAATAAAACACTTGCTAAAAAAAAAAAAATTGCTTTGCTTAACTGCATGTCATGTGACCATTAATCGACATCAGGGAGCCATAAACATGCAAATGTGTTGTTAAAATATTGAAATATTAACTTAAAATCTCAATGTTAAAGGGGATCGGCTGACAAAATGTATGGGAATCCCTGGTGAAGGACTAATTTATTAAACTGGAATCAATAAGTTTGCTCATTGCAATTTTAAATTGCTTGGAGTATGATTATGTATTGTTTGTACTGTTGTTGCTTGTATTGACACTTGTGTTCTTACTCCGTGTCCACACACCTGTCAAAGGCAGACACGGTGCTGATGGCCAGCAGCAGGTAGAGCAGAGACTGTGCTGGGTAAGCCAGACTGTGGTACTGCTGGAGAAGGTTAGGTAGAGTGGTCATCTGCTCTCCAGCTAACACATACACTACAATGATGTTCCACACCGCATATCCTGCCAGAAATCCATGAGAGAACAGTCCAATGATCCTACACAGAAAACAACAACAATTTTAGCACATAACAAGTCATCAAGCTCCAAAAAGAAAACCACATGATAAGGACATGGCCATGATGAGTACTGGACAAACTCATGAAACCCTGTTATGAAACTGAAACACATTAGAGTTGATAAGAGCTATTAGACCATTTGAGACCATCTCCCAACCAAGCCCACCTGAAGCCGCTGTGGACCCTCATGGCGACATCTCGTGTATTCCATATGGGTCTGACCTCCATGTACTCCTCCATATGGTCACGGGATAAATCCAAACGATCAGTCGCCTGGAAGCGGCCTGGGTCAGAGGTCATACACCATTTTATTAGCTTTATTTTATTTTCCTATTTTATTGGCTACATTTATATATAATATACTTCACATAATACTGTAGAAAAATATATAATTTTTTTCTAGACATTAAGTACACTCATTGTCTCTTAATTAATGTAATAACTAACATTGTTTGCATACAGTATATTAATGTATAATGAAAGTATCACTACATGTATATCTCTCACAATGAAACTCACGGTTCTTTTCTACAAACACTTTTCCGATCGGATGACTGTGACCCAGAGGGGCTGAGAACAGAGAGCGCTGAGATATGGGTGCGTGCACATCGGTGATGATGTCCTCCTCCTCCACACCGAGCTCATTATGAGACTGGTTTTCTATCATCTTAGCCTTCCTTCAAAAAGAAGTGGACCTTATTCTCAGCAGAAAAAGTCATATAATCACAACTGCTATGAAACTAAACTACTGCATTTAGATGGATTCACTTTCTTTTCTATTCAACGTTTTTGCCTCTCACCGTTTTCTCTTGCTTTTTTTGGTGACTTCCTCATCATCTGTATGGGGCTCTTGAACATCTCCATTTGAAAGGTCTTGTTGTTCACTCTCATCTTTTAACACAATAAAATAAAAAACAATTAATCTAAAAAGACGAAAATAACATACATAAATGAAATGTGAATTAATTGCTGTATTTACCCAAAGTATGTGCCTTCTTTTTCTTCTTCTTCTTCTGTGGTGGATTGTCCGGAGGCTCAGGGGTCAGCGGCTCTCTGTGGCTCTCCAGACCCTCCATTTCTATAGCTGGCTCGGGTCCTGCTGTTGTTTATTGGAAAGAAAAGGACTAACTACAAAATATGTGCTGCAAACACTAAACCTGGGTATCTGAATTATTCTAATTGCTACCTGCAGAGGTAGCTGTTACACCAATGGACAACACTTAAATTGCTTTCATAAGAATGTATTTGTCCAGCAGCAAGCACATAAAAATGTACAGTATATGATACAGTATCACTCAAGTTTTATATCATCTGGATAAAAATGTGAACTTAAGATCAAATAAAGAATTTATAAGTATCATTACCTTGAGGTTCCTCAACTTCACTAATCTCCTTCTTGGTTTTCTTTTTCTTGGGTTTGACACTTGGCATTTTGTCTGTGTAAAGGGGCAGAAACAGGACACTCAGCTTTGTCTACAGTTTACACTTGTCCTTTGTAGTAATTAGATTAGAAATCCAAGTACAATAGAAATTATTACAGGCTTTGGGGTTACTAAGGCTAAGCCAAATAATATAACTGATTAATTTAAATGTAATTAATTTATAACTTCCTGTTCACATGTTCAGATGTTCAACACGGATAACTGACCACTGGTGTCTTGATGTCGCACACCCGAAAATCAGGACTGAATGGAAACAAAGAAAATGAGACTCATTTCACTTCTTTTAATTGAAGTCAATATGTAGAGTGTTTGTGTGAGCATACAGTGAGCATGCAGCTTTAAATTAGCCTCATGCTGGATATAGCACTTTACTGAGAGAAGATTATGAGGCCAGTTAGGTAAACAACACTGACTGAACTGCTTCTTTCTGCTTGACTTAAAGGCAGGGTATGTGATTTTTCAAAAACACTTTAGAAAACTGATTCGGGCCGAATAGCAAAACAAATTTGTAGCCAATCAGCAATAAGGGGCGTGTCTACTCGTGATGTGGAGGAGAGCGCGTTCAGTGCATGGGACGGACATTAGCCGAGCCGAGCGACAGAAAGATAGAGATGGCAGATAAAAAAACAAAAGAGGAAAACGTCTGCAGAACGATAAGGCAAGAAGTAGGACCCATGTAAATATCGGATCAGCTTTCCAGCGCTGATCCAGTTTTCTGTCGGGGATTTGTTGCACCGCGCCGCTCACGTCCGTAGACACGGTGTAATATTGGTTTTGCTTTGTTTCACAGAACTAATCGTTGCCTGGGTTGCGTACGTATATGTGGGGCGGAGCTATCAAAATAGGGGCAAGACCCTTTTGGGGTAGGGGCGTGTTTGTTTTGGTGATTTCAAATATCAACATTGGCTACCAGAAATCACTTACTCTGCCTTTAAGTGCTCACTTTTAACTACTTAGCAAGTCAATGACAGTAAGCAAACTCACAATCAAAAATGTAAATATTGTAAATAGAAATTCATAATTAAGAAATTAATAATACATAAAATGATGAAAAAAGAACAAATATTGTCAGACAGGCAGACAGACAGACAGATAGATAGATAGATAGATAGTATTACAGTAAGTCACCAAAACATGTTGAAGTATGATATCTAGACCATGCAAGTTTAAGAGGTGATTTAAATCAATTGTGATCACAGTCAAGTGCAATGTCTGGTTATACCACATTATAAACAGCTCACATGGTCACACAGGAAGTATGTAAATACATGACACTGGATACACAACACAAGAGCCCAGTTGATAAATAACTAAGGTATGTTAAGGAGATGAATAGTAAGTGAGAAAAACGGGACTTTAGTGAAAGTCTATCACTTGTAAATGTCAACAGACCAGTCAACTAACTCTGACAGCTTTATATTACCATTCAGATAAAATAATACCAATAATTAAAAAAAAAAATACCGAAATTCTACACAGCTCGCTCTAATAATCAACACAAAAAGGCACACATTTCACACATTAGGTTTAGTCTAGGCAAAGGCTCAGTACGGAGCGCCCGAAATCCAGTGCTCTGTGTTTCTATCTTGACATATCAATCAAAGCTCACGCTTCTTATCTTTAATGACTAAAGCTAAAGATCTGCTATAATCCTGAGTGGCATAATTTACCGTTTGTTTTCTTTCCATTCTTGCCTGGCTGGAGTCGTGGTGGCGCAGTAGTTGTTGGTGTGAGATGAGGAGAGTCTTGGCTGTGCCGTAAAACTGTCTAATCCTGGGCTTAATCCTCACAGACGTGCAGCTGCCAAGGAGGGAATTAGTGTGGCATAGATCGGTGAGTGAGGGCAGCCTGAGAACCACACACACACCATTAACTACAGCTGTTACATCATACACATTTTCCCTGTACGTTCAATTCATTTTTACAATAAAAAGAACATACACAAAGTGAAACAAATAAGTACACCCAGTGTTACATTTAAAAAAAATATTCAGATTTATTTTGAAAAGGGATCTATTTTCTCAATATATATATAGCTACTAGAATGACATGCCAGCATAATATGTATAATAATATAGAATATGAAGAGACAATATATGAAATGCTTAATGAATGACAGAAAGAGCAGATTCAGAAATGTCTTTAAGATGTGTTATGGTGTATTTGCTATTTAATTTTATGCAAAAAAAAAAAAAAAAAAGAAACTATAGAGATTGAAAATCAAGGCTTCTGATTATAAATCAATAAATCTATAATCTACCACACCACACGCACACAAAAGTTAATTGGAAAAAGTTTAACAACTCATCTAGAGGAAAATAAATAAATAAAAAATACAAAAATAAAAAGTTTGGAAAAATAACCATATTCACTTGCAATCAAAATGATTCAACCCCCTTGACCTGCAAAACATTCTGCTGCCGTGAACAACATTTTATGAAAACAGTTCAACCAAGGCATCAGTAAACTATTTTAGAAAGTTTATTAATACACATTTGAGTGATTCTGAGAATGTGAAGTTGATGAAAAAAATCTAAATGATTCAATACCTCAAAAGTCACATTTTGCAGAGAACCTTTTATTCTTTATAACCTCTAATAAATGTTGCCTCTAAGTGTACACAAGCTTCTGACACCTCTCTACTGAAATCTTCGCCCATACTTCATGTGCAAAAGCTTCCAGATCACTGATAGTCTTTTTTCACGTTGCCACTGCTTTCTTCAAATTCCACCAAATATTTGACTGAGATTTAAATCTAGAGATTGAACACTCAAGAACATTCTACAACTGAACCAAGCTTCAGTAGATTTGGATGTATACTTAAGGATGTTTACCCTGCTAGAAAGTCCATTGATCATCAAGCTTCAGTCTCTGCAACGAAGGCATCACAATGACACGTATGAATAAGGCTACCAGCTGCATCTCTAGGAAGCATCTTTTAGTGACTTGGAAATCTTCTTGTAGCCAAATGTAATAAAACATTTTCTTCTCTGTAGCTTTTGTGCGAGCTCTTTTGACTTGGCCATATTTGCAACTTAACTTAAGCACATGCATGGGCTAAATTTGTATATAACTAAAAAAAAATATATATATATATATATATATTAAATATTATATATGACATTAAACTGTAACAGATGCCGTTTTTGACAGTTCTTGTAAGACATAAATAACACTTATATTTCTTCATTTAGCAGACAAAAAAAATTGCTTCTACGCTAGTGTAAACATACTTCAAATCACCAGAAATAAACCTATAAATCTCATAAGACATCTAGTGAAGACCCTCAATGCCTAAATATGTGTTTATAGTATACTGTATGTACTATGTACTAGTATGTACCATGATAATCCAAACTATTGCTGGTGACAAGGCAATCCTACAAACAGGATTTTACTTAGGGGTTCACATGAAAGTTCATTTTCCCTAAACTTCACACAAAGGCATTCGTTTTTTCAAAATTCAGTTCTTTTACATTAATTATAACCATTCAAAAATTCCCTTGTTTGTTCTTATGCATGTCTGTCTGTCATAGATGATCAGGAGCAAACCAGCTGGCAGGAATCCACTGTGGTTCTTCTTGAGCATGTTGTATAGCCGTGAACAGATCCATGCATGAATCTTGCAGGTCATCGTTCACAATCACACAGTCAAAGTACTGACGATACTTGGCTTCCATGGTCCTACTTGCTTCCTCAATCTCCTCAAAGTCTTTATCCTGAGCAAACCAGTTGGACAATGTTACATGCCATAACCAGAATTCATGAACACACTCTTTTCTTTTAGTTCATAGCTGCTTATCAATCTATTATCAGAAACAAAGGTACCACAAGAAATATCAAATGCATATCTTACATGAAAGCATCTCTTAATGTTGCTATTGGCAAGAAAATGTGGGTCTTTTCTTGTTTGTCTCATGCGTGTTGGGGACGGGGGCCGCACAAATATGATGTAGGGTTTCAGCTTCTTGGTTCTGACTGAATGAATGCACTGGAATAAACAGATATGTGCAGGTGCATCACTGTTTGCAACCTAACTAATGATAAAAACACAAGTGTGGTTTTAATAATCATTAATGACACTTACATGAGGTTCAAGGTCAATAACACATATTTTTCCATTGTCCAAAACATCTTTGACTGAGTCTAAGCTGGTGCCGTACATGTGTCCATTATGCTCTCCATACTCAAGAAATCTGGATATTGTTAAAAACACAAAAAACAATCCAAAGTAAGCTGAATCACAAGAACAGATCATCAATTATATATATGTTTTTTTGTTTTTTTTTATATTTAAACATAAACAAAAAGATTACTTGTGATTAACCACCATGTACGCAAACACTTCTTTGGTCACAAAGTGATATTCCCGTCCATTCTTTTCACCCATTTTTTGGGACCTTGTTGTGTCTGGAGCAAAACAAGAGACATGCTGTAACATCAGATTGTTTTGTTAAATAATGTTAGATGCTGTTAACAATTTCAGACGTTTGTTAACTTCAAACACACAGTCACTCTTTAAGATCTAGCCGTCCAAACACAATTTCAGTGCCTTGTTTGAAATACTTATTACTCTTTGTGCTTCTACATAATGTAGAAAGTTTCAGTGATATATGAGGGTAGGCTGGATATATATTTTTTTTACGATATTCCAAAAAACTAGCTTACAGCACCTTTAAATCAGAGATTAAAGGGATCATATGGACAACATACAAGATATTGGTCCCTGGTACGTATTAGGGTTGATTTTGATTAGCCTCCTGCGTAGTTCGTTTACACCAACTCCTGATGGACCTGTGGAAATATGGAAAAGTATTGAGGCTTTAATGGCCAGTGAGACACATGATTGTTAGTTATTGTCAGTTCATGCAAGGATATGATAACCCTGCACATAGAGGACCATACCAATGAGCACAATAAGACGGGGGGGATCGTCTATGTGGCGCTGGTAGTGGAGCACCTCTTCACAAATGGTGGCTGAGGTGTTATGGCAGCTGCTGACCTCACAGGAATAACATGACGGCTTTCGTTTGCTGTTCCTCCTCCACACGCGCAGACTGTGTCGGAACCCCACTGATTCAAACAATTAAACAATTCACTTTTCATATATGTGTATGCGTTCATATGAGTCGAAATTGAAATTTATCATTTACATTCATCATTCAGATTTCATACCTATATATAATCCCTGCATGTGTTCACCATTCTCATCCTCCTCTGACACTGGACAAAACAAAGAGTGGGTCAATGTAAAGCCCATTGGCAAACGTTTTAATAACAAATCTTTAAATCAGCAAATCTATATAAAATCTAAATTATTCTCTCATTCAGTGAAATGCTTTTTCCTCAGAAAAGACTTACCTACCGAACTCAAAATCTTCTTCATCTGTAAAAACAAATAAATTAATTCAACATTGTGCTAAAATTGTTTATACAACCCATTCTATTACTATGGAAGCCTGTTTCAGCAGCTGTTTCAGCAACGGAATAAAACAATTAAAAAGGCAATTGTCACTTTTTTATCTCACAATTCTGTCTTTTATGAGTTTATATCTTGCAATTCAGAGTTTCTTTCTCAGATCTGTGAGAGATAAATGCAAAATTGCGAGACATATACTCACATTTCTGAGAAAAAAAGTCAGAATTGTGAGATGTTAACTCAAAATTGCTAAATAAAAACTCAGAATGGCAATAAAGTCAGAATTTTAAGATTACAAGTCATTATATATATTTTTTTAATTCTGTGGCAGAAATGGGCTTTCCTATATTACCACACAGAATAATAAGTTAAATAAATGAAGACATGGATTCTGTGGGATAATCACCTGTTTCAATGCATTTGTTCTCATCCATTATCTCCTCTTCTCCTTTAGAACAAAGAGTGACTCAAGGCACTCACCCAGCACTACACAACTAATATTTTATCCATTATCTATTTACTTCATGCACACCCATTACAATCAATTCCTAATAGACAAAACAAGTCGTAATAGACAAAAACAAGTAAACATAAAGAGAAAAATCACAGGGAAAGACAAAAAAAAAGATACATACCAATATCTGCTGCGCTCACTTTGGATATCAAAGCAAAGAAAATGACAAAGAATTAGAAGAATAAATATTAAATATTAATAATATTAATGCAACATGGTGGGTAATCATATGAACAGACTGCAATTAGTACATCATAAGTGGTCATAGCATTCTTTAATGCTATTTCTTTTTTCTGGGTTAAGCTTATTATTACAAATGTAAAGATGACTTTTTAATTAAGAATGACTCTCTCTGACCTTGAGATAATATAAATGAGCGGTTTCTGCTACTGCAATTTTAAATGATGTTTAAAACATCATGTCATGGGCTGCAGGATTGTCGTCAAGTCTTATATAGTTTTAACTGCTCCATCCTTCAATAATAGCCTCGACGCAAAACCTGCATTACACTGAGCAATCTTTGCTGAATTGTGCCCGAAAAGTTTCAGGAACTTGTTTAACAGGGACCTTGCAAACTTCAAACGCTTGTTTCTAATTCCTCAGAAGGATATGCAGAAGAACCTGGTGTTTAGAAATAATAGTATCTATCCTTCTTTCACCTTAATGGTTGAGCACAAGGTGGACAGGACTAGTCAATCAGTCATGAAGGAAGGACCATGCCAAGAACAGTTAACTTTCAAGCTTCTTTAAAGTAATTAGATCAGGATGGAGAGAGGGCAGGGTTAAGAGGCTTATGATGCCAACTAACATCTTAAAGAGTGCAGAGAAGTTCATACATCTGTGTGTGTATGTGTGTGCTATAACATACAGGGTCTGATGCAGGTGTGAGCTTGATAAGGTTGGGACCACCATAACTCCCTTTGCTTACTGCAAAACAAGGAAATAAACATCAGTCTTGGTCAAAAATGGATCAATGGCATAATTTTGAAAAAACTTCAACTTAGCATAATTCAAAACTGACTATCTGAATTGGTTAGTGGAGGGTATGAGGCCACAACACAATGAGGCACTGTGGAGTTTCCTGGCCTGCCACCATCGGATGTCCCTCTGGTCTACAATCTCCAGCAAGTCACCTTTACTGAAAGCCATGCCTGCATCTGGGCAGGGGATCGCAGGGTCTTGCAGAGGACTGTAATCCACCATGGCTCTCACATATAGCTAATAGGAGAGAGAGAGACAATTAACAATAACTTTTTTTACTACTTTTTTAATAAGTCATTCTTTTAACACAGCAAGGGAACTCACTATATAGTATTTATTAAATATATAAACCAATTTGGTGTTTGCAAACAGTGATGACGGTTTTTTTTGTGGGCGGAGTCTATCTGGTGGCAGAAAATGACAGTTTTAAAGTAGCAGTCTACAGAAGCCATGGAATAAAAGAATGAAAAAGGTAACTTTGGGTTTGTATTTCAAAATGCTGACTTTTTTCTCGCAATTCCGAGATTATATCTCACAATTCTGATAAGGAAAATCAACTCGTCATTCTCTCTTTTCCCCTCAGCTCAGAATCATGAGTTTATAATCCCACACTTCTGGCTTTTTTCCCCCTCAGAATTGACAAACTTGCAATTGTTGAGTTAAATTGAGTTATAAAGTCCGAAGTAGGATATTTAAACTTGCATTTGCGAGAAAAAAAGTCAGAATTGTGAGATAAAATAGGTAAATGTTATAGGTTTAAATAGCTTTTTCATGCTGTAACTGTATGCTAATAGAATATGTCCCTTATGAACTGCATATGTGAATATTATGTAGACCTACTGTTTAAATCAAATTTATGCTTTAACAGTAGGGTAATCATAGCAGGTTTCATCCATAGTCTGTCTGTTTAAACATCTGCGTTTAGCTTCAAATGGCGTCTTTGACGACAGTATTTTATAAAAATTATTTGCATTCCGATACTGACATCCAAAGGCACAACAATACATATTTTCTCTTATTCCGTGGATTTTACCCGTTTCCCTCCTCTTGTTCCCAGTGTTTTTCTGCCACCACAATGCGCGAGCAGCTGCAAGTGACGTAACTGACGTCTACTCCAAATTGGTCTGTAGTATTTATACAATATATAGTATTTATTAAATGTATTGATTTATTAAATATATTTGTTGAATATTATAAATATATTTATTAAATACTCGCATAGTGCAGTTAATATTTCTTGAAGAAATTTACAGTGCACTTACGGCTGGTTGGCTGTTGGCAGGTTGTGGTGAATTAGGGATCACTTTAAAAAGAATATTTCCCTGAGATTGTACCTATAAAAGTGTGCACACTGCATGAATGGATATGGTCATTATAAGAGTAGGGAATGGCTTGAAAGTCTTAGATATTATGTAACTGGAAGAGAGTGGGGAACGTTATAAGAAACACAAAAAGAGGTTTTAATCTTGACTTTACCAGCATCTGAATGACGCGCTCGGGCTGCAGTCCCCGCACTTTCTGTCCATTCACTTCCACCAGTTTGTCGCCAGGATGAAGAAGTCCTAAAAGACACACACACACACACACACACACAGACACAGACACACACACACACACACACACACACACAGACACACACATTAGAAAATACTACTAAGTCTAATACTTTCAAACAACATCAAAATCATCACGTTGTGGTGTTAATGGCTCAGAAACACACACTTCACCTTTAAAGTCAGCATGAAATTAAAACTCACCCTATCCAATTTCTAAATGTGTTACTGATCTTATTTTGAACAATTCATCCATGCATGTTTTAACCTCATAATTCTAAAAATATCATAATCTTCCATCGAAAGGATTGGTGACATATGATGGACTTCTCCAATCATTTAGTCTGCTTAAACCCCACCCCTTTCTTAAAATTGACATCCAATCAACAACGGATGGATAGAACCAAGTAACTCCATACATTTTTTTTTTTTTGATAACCTGTTTCACTTGGGTGTACTGTACATTACAATTCTGAATAAATGATCTGATGCTACTTCCGTTTCATCACCACTTTAACTTTTTGCATCAGTTTAATTACATGATTAAACCTATCAGAACACTTAATAAGTATGAGCTCAAAGAACAAAAAGTATATAAAAACGTTTACTTACTAAAAAGTAAAAAAAGGTTACTTACCACTGCGATCTGCCAGTCCTCCATGTATCACCCTTGCAATAAAGATGTTCCCCGTTCTTTCATTCTTCCTAATAGTTACCCCCTAAAATTGTGAAAACACACAAGAATGGTCAATCAGTTGGTTGTCAATGACAACAGGCATCACATGGTGATTCCCACAGAAGATCTTACTCCTGCACATGAGTGGAGGAAGGCTGTGGGTGCAGTGGAGATCATGTTATGATGAAATATTAGGAGGACGGACATTGCGGTAATGAGATTGCAGAATCAAGTCATCTCAAACAGAAACATGCCTGACTTGACCTAAACTAAAAGTGTGACAGAGGTCAAAGAGGAACTTAGAGTTTGGGAAAGACACAATGGGTTGATGAATGAGCCTCAGATGAAGAATGCAGCGTTTTTATTTGAAGGCACAAGCACCAATCAATTAATCATTCCATGGATCTTGATTGTGGATGGGATGAAGAGGAGATACAAATAAGAAAAAGATCAAGTAATTGCCTGTTTGTAGTGTAGTTCCATTGTAGTGAACAACATCACAGCATTCGATAAAGTCAAAACCAGCAATTTCAGCAAAGAGTAAAGTGAGGAGAGAGAAGTGGGAACACAGTCACAGTTATTTCCTCATCTTTGACTTTTTCTTCTTGCTAGAGAGGCACAGTATTGTATTACAGTCATCGTTAGGAGTGGAGGTCGTCAAACTGTTTGATAGGGAAGTCTGTCCAGTTTTACTTCCTGGTGTTACAGACCTGTTTCTGGTCTGGCATGATGAAGACTTGCATGAGTTGCACTGTGGTGCTACATGAGAAAAATCCATGTTACAGCTTAAAGAAGAGGAGGAAAACAATGATGTGGTTGAAGATGAAGACGATGAGATGGAGGATGAGACATGAGGAGTGTTGCTGAAAGATTTCTTGGCTGGCGCAATCGGCTGGCCGGGCAAGTTGGGCACACTTGCCATTTTTGAGATGTGTTGGGATCTGGAAGTCACTCCTGGAGATTTGCTAGCAATAATAAGACCCTGCAGTTTGTCCACCACTTCCACCAACAGACTCAATGCCTGGGCGTTTTCCTCTACACTGTCTGTCATTCTCTCAGTTACCTCTACCATCTTCTGCCTGAGATCTCGAGCGTCACTGGTGCTCTGGTCCATACTGCTGGCAACGGTATGGACGGTTGACCTCAGCTCATCCAGGCTGTTTTGCTTTGTGAACACCAGAGCTGGATGAGAGCGGGTGGCATCTATGGAGTGGTGCCGTTGAAGCAGAGGGCTGGAGGGGGCTGTCTGGGAATGGAGGCCACATCCAGGTGGGCAGCATGAACACGGGTATGCTAGAGATGAGGTGTTGCAAGCTGTGCATGTATGGTGTTGATCTTCGACTAGGGTTTCGACACCATCTGCACAGTTCTCTTCAATTATAATAGACAAAACAGGATAGATTAATTTGGTTTCAGAATTAAACACTGTAAGACAGTGTTTGGCCTTGTCATGTCAAACAGTAGATGTCTTTGGGACATGATGAGCCTTACCCATAATCACAGAGTCATAAACGGCCGGAGCTGAGAGGTTCAGACCTCCTCCCGAGAGATGGGCAGTTTGGCAGCACAGGTTACAGCTACCGGTGGACTGATACCTGGGCAGCGAGTGCGGCTGTCCTGAGGGTATGGAGGACAGCAGACCGGTGGAGGATGATAGACCGCCTGCAGACCCCAGGAGACTCTGTTCCTCTGAGCCGAAACGTCTGGCTAAAGCCAGTTTCTCCACTGTGAGTCGCCTAAGGCTGTTCCAGTAACTGGGCTTTCCCTCTTTGACACACTTATAAGTGAGAAAACCGGATGAGCATGCTAACCAACAAACATTAGACCAAGAAAGAGCTTGGGTATCTTGCAATATGGTAAAATAAGAGTCAAGTAAAAGCACATTCTGTTGCAATGACAAAATGATCTGTGTCTCTATTAGGATGGAACTGGATGTGGGCTCTCCCTGAAGAGGATTATTTTGTGACAACAACCTTCTGGATATACATTATCCTGCTTTTTATGCTTCTATCTACCACAGAGGTAAATAACTGGACTAAAATAGTTAAAGCTTCAGGAGAGAAAAACTGTTCCTATTAAGTGGCTTTGAGCCAAGATGAACAAACATGATGCTACTCTTGATAAGTTCTTCAATGTGACCATCCGTTTCAAATGTGAAATTAATCATTTTCAATTAATAACGTTAAAACTTTAGTCATATTGGTTTCATAGACTCACCATAGCATTGAAATTTTATATATGTGACCCTGGACCACAAAATTTTTTGGCTATTGCTACAAATATACCCAAGTGACTTAAGACTGGTTTTGTGCTCCAGGGTCACATATGTTGATTAAAAACATGGCTTTATCTTTGTGTTTGTTGGAAAATCAGTCAAACAAATATTTTTTTTTCTATTATTTGGTAGAAGTCATCATTTTTTCCCTTGTGAACTTGGTATTCGATTTCGGCCACATCTTTCTCAGACATGCCTGTCGACATTTATTTTAAGGTGTCCTTGTTACACTATAATTATACATTTAAGTACTGAGTAATATTAATTAACAACATGTACTTACTATAGGGTTAGGATTATGGTTTGGTTTAGGGTTAGTTGCATGTAATTATTTATAATTTATGTTACATATAACAGAGGCTGTAAAATAAAGTGTTATACTTTTCATTTCACTGTAATATCCATCTAGAAATAAGCAGCATTGTAGATTATAACACAGGACCGTGATCATTAGCATGAATAAAGTGAAGTGCAAAATCAGTGGTAGGATTGGTGGGATTTGTATGTACATACTAAAATCAGACTCAAACATCTGATTTCAATAGGTTTTAAAACCTGTTATTACGTAACCATACAGCTCTTACCATAGATCAGAAAAAAATATTTAATACCATATACCCTTTACATGATATTGTACTGTAGTGCAACAAGGGACATTTAAGTGGGATTACAGACAAGCTGTTCATTAACATATCTGAAATTGCAGTGCTATTTATAATGTTATGCTCACCAGAGGCTGTTTATTCTTCATGAGGCAAACAATCCTCATGGCCTCCTCATTGTCAGGCAGTTTGTCAGGAAGGGGCGGCAGCACTGGACCATAGTCCCTCTGGGCCACAGAATCATGAGCAGAGAGCAAAGCCTGGGGAGAAATACATAATAAACGGTAATAAAACAAATAATAAAACAATACTGACCTAACTTTTATTTACATAAATGTACCATAATGAAATGATCATACTAGCAAATTAGACTCTAACCTGCATATGAGGGCATTTCAGTAAAATATAAAGTTCTTGTGCATCAGAGGAAGGAGCAGCCAGTCCTCGCACACTGGCCATAATCTGTGGGAGAGTAGAAGACAGACGATGAAAAGAAAATAGAGGCTGATAGGATTACTTCACCCGGAAATTAAAATATTTTCATCCTTTACTCACTCTTACTGCGTGTATGACTTTAGAAGCATTATAATATACTATAGTGCTCAAATAATAATTTACTCAACCTCATGTATGGCTTTAGAAGACTTGGAATATACTTACAATGAATTATACACTGTAAAACCAAACGAGTTAAGGTAACTCAAACCATTTGCATTAAATGAAATAAGTTCACTGTACTTGTAACTATTGTTTTTTTTTTTAATGCTTTAAATGGTTTTGTGAGTCCACAAAAAGAGGGCTCTCTTAATATTATATTAAACTATAAATACATTAAAATACTTTGTGGGGCTGAAACTTAACTAAACTGCACAAAACAATCCAAATCAGTAACAGTTATCCAATAGGTGGCTAGCAGCAATAGCACAAGCACACATCCATGTGCTAATGTAATTATAGAGACTATCACTGTAATGTAGTGAGTAGTCATTGCTTTTTAAATAAAGCAACATACTGTAGCTAAACCTGTAACCTTGTCCATTTGGAAGAACTGGATTTTGGCTATTGAATCTACTGCTGTTACTTTTGTTGTTATTATTACTATTACTACAAATCCTGCCTATCTGTGTACTTATTTGATTTTTGATGTTGTTGTACCTTAGACATTTTTCTAAGTCCTGAGGTGTGTTGGGTCGGGTGAGGGAAGGGCGGAGGATTTGGGGGTAGTAGTTGTCAAATATCTTTTCTTTCCTTTATTGCAATATGTTTTTGTATACTTTACAAAAATAATAAAAACACTGAGTTACAAAAATAAAAATAAAAAAATAAATAAAAATAAAGCAACATACTATATAGTCATAATGTGCAAAAAGAACACTTAACTTTAATATTTAGTCTCCTTTAATAGCCTGAAGCGAGGCATGCTAGGAAAATGAAATCTGCTGAAACTCAATCAGTTCCAGTTCTGCTTAATGTAATCAGTGAGTTCATGTAACTTTATTCTATTAAATACAATGAATTTTCAGTAGTATCTGAGTAACATGAACATGTTTCATTGATTAAATTTGACTGCTATATGTCATTATATTATATATGACATGAGAGTTTCATATGGTTGATGACTGAGTCCTTCAAAGCAAAGTCAGTAATAAAATGCATTGACTGACCTCCTGAGATAGTCTTGAGGAACAAGACAGGTACGGGCTTGGGGCATCTCGACTGTGCTGCACCAGACACTCATATACCTATAGGAAATAACAAATCCTTTATGTGCAAGACAGCTGCAAACTTTTTTCCACACTCAGTGTCCAATGACCTGCCCTGGGATAATGTCAAAACTGGATAGTCATGGGTGTAAGTATTGAATGAGCATGTCTTACCCTGAGAAGAGAGCAAAGCCAAGGAGCACTGAGGAGACTGTACAGAAGATCAGCACCATTAGTATCTCTGTCTATTGAGAGTCTCACTTCCTCAACCACTTCTGCCAAGATCTGAGCCAAACCTACATCTGTGAAAGAGAACAAGACTGTAGTATTTGATTTGCTGCTATACCATTGTGCATGTCAAGGGCACAACATCCCTGTTCTATGCATTTGCAAAGACGCACCATTGTCATCTTGTCCAGGTTGTGTCACTGGCTCCTCCTCCATTGATTGCCGCATGATAAACTTCTCTATTCAGATCACTGCAGTCCTATAAAACAAATCAATGTCGAGAGTACAAGGGCACAATCTACATTTCTGCTGCAGAATTATAAATCATAAATTATGAGTGCAAAAACGGCAGAACCACTGCACATTTAGTTGGCTACAATGTTTTAAAGAACAAGAATGTCTGAAGCGAGGCATGCTAGGAAAATGAAATCTGCTGAAACTCAATCAGTTCCAGTTCTGCTTAATGTAATCAGTGAGTTCATGTAACTTTATTCTATTAAATACAATGAATTTTCAGTAGTATCTGAGTAACATGAACATGTTTCATTGATTAAATTTGACTGCTATATGTCATTATATTATATATGTTTCATATGGTTTCATATGGTTGATGACTGAGTCCTTCAAAGCAAAGTCAGTAATAAAATGCATTGACTGACCTCCTGAGATAGTCTTGAGGAACAAGACAGGTACAGGCTTGGGGCATCTCGACTGTGCTGCACCAGACACTCATATACCTATAGGAAATAACAAATCCTTTATGTGCAAGACAGCTGCAAACTTTTTTCCACACTCAGTGTCCAATGACCTGCCCTGGGATAATGTCAAAACTGGATAGTCATGGGTGTAAGTATTGAATGAGCATGTCTTACCCTGAGAAGAGAGCAAAGCCAAGGAGCACTGAGGAGACTGTACAGAAGATCAGCACCATTAGTATCTCTGTCTATTGAGAGTCTCACTTCCTCAACCACTTCTGCCAAGATCTGAGCCAAACCTACATCTGTGAAAGAGAACAAGACTGTAGTATTTGATTTGCTGCTATACCATTGTGCATGTCAAGGGCACAACATCCCTGTTCTATGCATTTGCAAAGACGCACCATTGTCATCTTGTCCAGGTTGTGTCACTGGCTCCTCCTCCATTGATTGCCGCATGATAAACTTCTCTATTCAGATCACTGCAGTCCTATAAAACAAATCAATGTCGAGAGTACAAGGGCACAATCTACATTTCTGCTGCAGAATTATAAATCATAAATTATGAGTGCAAAAACGGCAGAACCACTGCACATTTAGTTGGCTACAATGTTTTAAAGAACAAGAATGTTTGCTTAAAAAAAAAACCTTTTAGATTATAATAGCTCTCTACTGCGTCACTTTGGACGCGCGTTCTCGACAGTATTATGACGCGAGCGTGTGGCTCGTGTGGCTCTCGTAGCTTCGTAACTTTACAGTTGAACCACTAATGTGATACGGACTACTTTGTCGATCATCTTGGTACTTTTCTGGACCTTGAACGTGGTAGTTACCTTGCTGTCTATGGGAGGGTCAGAGAGCCCTCAGATTTCATCAAAAATATCTTCAATTGTGTTCCGAAGATGAACGAAGGTCTTACGGGTTTCGAACAACACGAGGGTGAGTAATTAATGACAGAATTTTCATTTTTGGGTGAACTAACCCTTTAACTGGTCATTTTGATTCTGTATTCCTAACATCTTCAAGTGACTCTAATTGGAAAATTACCCATGTATAAAAATATTAGAAAATGAATTAGAATAACCTAATGAGAAGGAAGCAGTATTATAAAATAATGTTGGAATAAATAATTTACCTGCTATAAAACAAATCAATGTCAAAAATAAGACCTTAATTTTCATTTCTGCTGCAGAATCATAAATCATGAATTATGAGTGCAAAACTGACAGGAACGTTACACATTTAGCCGATTACTTGTTTTAAAGAACAAATTATAATAGCTTTAACTTGTCATTTTTATTAATTATTCCTAACACTTTTAAAATTACTAATTTATAACATATTTAAAAAATATATTTATTTGTATTTAAGACAAAAAAAAAATGTTAGAATGAAAAATACACCTGCTCAAAAACAAACCTAGTTAATTTATAACTTTGAACCTGGAGATATAAACAATATGATGGTCAGTCAGTGTCATTTATTACAAAGATCATCTACAACTACACAATTAATGCACGTCAAATTTAAGTAATCTGGAAATTGTTCAATTCATTTTAAGAATGAAATTACACATCGATTGTGATCTCTGAACTCCGTTACGAAAGCAGGTCAAGAGTCCGTCATATGAAGATTAGATTATGATGCCGCACTTACCTCCTTACACTCCTGCCACTGTCTTCCTCCAAACCACACTGATGCTTCTTCATCCTACGTTTAGACCAGGTAGCTGTGGAGCATCTTGTCAGTTGAGCTTTATATTAAGGTGATCTTCTGCTTCTGGCCTGCCAACATGCATGTGATTTTACTATAAAATGTCTCTGGAAACTCAGATTGTAATCCTTTTCTATCCCATTTAATCCAGCGAGGGGCCGGCCTCTCTCTGTGAGCAATTCCATAGGACCGCCTGCCACTCAAAGCTTCTTACCTCCTCCTGCTTTTGGAGCTCAATAGACACACTCACACTTACACAATACGGCCAACCAACTTTACAGTTAAAATGGAAAATATGACACATAAAACATCTCATAAATCCAAAAGACTCAGCTGGTGCCACAGACTTTCAACTGACATTATTGTTACACAACAGACAAAGCTAAAAATATATCACAATGCCAGAGACTTAACAACTTAACAATTGCAATCAAATGAATAGATAGGGGAAAACATAGAAGCAATGTGAGAAATTTAGCATTACATCACTTGCTCACTAATGGATCCTCTGCAGTGAATGGGTGCCGTCAGAATGAGAGCAGAAACAAATGATAAAAACATCACAAAGGTCTTGTGAAGTGAAAAGTTCTATGTTTGTAATAAACAAATCAATCATTAAGGCGTTTTTAACTTCAAATTACTGCTTCCAGCTAAAATACGAGTCTAGCTTTAATATTGCTTTCTTCTGAAAAAGTCATCTTGTCTGAATCAGGAGAGAAATATGCACAAATCAAGAACTGTTTACAAGTAAAAACACTCCAAAACAGTTCTAAACAAATATGTTGGTGTATTTTGATGTGAGAGGACAACAGGGGATGGACTTTTTCACTGGAAGAAGCGTTATTATGGATTTATATTTTGGTCAGAAGTGACAGTTTAAAGTTAAAAATGTCTTAATACATTTGTTTCTTTCAAACAGATTTTCACTTCACAAGATGTTAGTTGATGGACTGGAGTCATGTAGAATACATACTGGATTATTGTGATGTTTTTATCATTTGTTTGTGCTCATTCTGACGGCACCCATTCACTGCAGTGGATCCAGAGGTAAACAAGTGATGTACTGTTAAATTTCTCCAGATCTGTTCGGATGAAAAAAAAAATTCTCATCTAGATTCTGGATGGCATGAGGGTGAGTAAATATTCAGCAAATTTTCATTTTTGGGTGAACTATTCGTTTAACTGTAATAATGTCAGAGCTAAAATCCAGGACATCACATTGCTGATAGTCACAGGTGTTACTTGACCAATGCTAATGGTCTTAAATTGAACCTCATTCATTCTTTCTATTATCTATATTATTATCAATTCATAACTATATAAGCAAGGTGACAGAGAAGAAAACCACAACACAAATTTTATCTTGCAGGTATGGAATGTTTATTGAAGTAGTGAAAGTAGTATGCCAGAAAACGGTTTACAAAAACAGTTTATTCATTCCTTTTTTTATGACTTCAGTTGCACAAATTGTTGTCAAACTGTGTTTGACAAATTAATTTTCAAGGTGATGGTCACATTTACAGAAGATCAACAATGAGAGTACAAGTAGTTTATCAAAACCAGTAACCTTCTGAAAAATAAAAAATAAAATACAATAAAATCAGCCTTTGTATTTAACAGAAAAGGTGCTGTTGTTTTTATGATCATCGTAAGCAATACTTCAGTAACCAGTCTAGCCAATGACAATGACCTAACTAGTGACAAACCAACATTTGCGAATAATGACACCAGCTAATAATTGGCTGGTTTTCAACAAATTTAATAACAAATTTATGATTTTCAAAGATTTTTGAGAATTTTGCGCAAATTATTGTGTAAAGTTATTGTTTGTTTAATTTCTTATTAGTAAGTCATATACTGTATATAAACATTGAGCCATCCTGCTCTCTAGATTTTGGCAATCAGTCATTAAAAACCCACATCTGCCAACCAGATCACAACAAGCCTGTGTGACATCAGCAAAACTCTTTCAGTGCATGTTCAAATGTACAAAAGATGCATTCAGAGGAAAACACACACACACACTCTCTCTCACAAATATACAGTACTTTTTCACAAGTTCTTGATCGGCTTGATATAAGTGAAATAAGTTCATTCATGAATAAAGGCATTCGTGAAACAAGCAAAATGTAAAGGTTATCGCTAGTTTTGCCATTGCAAAATACTACATGCTGAGGTCCTTTAGGGGCCCTGCCATTGAAATTATTATTCCCTTATTGCATAGTGTTGAATGCCACATTTTCAGTCAATGGCAAAAATACATAAAAAATATGACTTTAGTCTTCAGTGTATTAGTTCTAAAAATATCTTAAATTCACTCTGGTACAGTCTAATAAGACTAAATAATATAATTACAACTAAATCAAATTTCATATAGTGAAAAGCTTCATGTCAGCGTGCTGTCATGCTGAAATGGAAACCTCATTTGTGACCCTGGTCTTAAGTCACTGGGGTATATTTGTAGCAATAGCCAAAATACATTGTATGGGTCAAAATTATTGATTTTTCTTTTATGCCAAAAATCATTAGGATATTAAGTAAAGATCATGTTCCATGAAGATATTTTGTAAATTTCCTACTGTAAATGCATTAAAACTTAACTTTTGATTAGTAATATGCATTGCTAAGAACTTCATTTGGACAACTTTAAAGGCGATTTTCTCAGTATTTTGATTTTTTTGAACCCTCAGATTCCAGATTTTCAAATAGTTGTATCTCAGCCAAATATTGTCCTATCCTAACAAACCATACATCAATGGAAAGCGTATTTATTCAGCTTTCAGATGATGTATAAATCTCAATTTCGAAAAATTGACCCTTATGACTGGCTTTGTGGTCCAGGGTCACATATTCTCTCAGAATATCCATGGTGTTATAATCAGATGGATTATACAGTTACTTTTTAAAATACATCACGATATATTATCTGACTTCAATTAGGAACTACATTATTTGTTCACCATTGCAAGTCACCTTTACATGTGGGGGGTTCAATAACACCATTAAGTCACAAATCTCTACTTGCAGTTTATAATGCCTACATCGCAAGACTTCAAATGTATTTAAAAACACTGCAACCCCGCGTAATGTGCAAAATGACAACAAAACCAGTAACCCAATAAAAAGCTACTTATTACTAGGGATGCAGCTATAGGATTTTTTAGTACTGATTACAAGTTAACAGTAGTTAACGATACTATAAACTTTCAGTAGGGTGACAGTAACTATTTTCAAAGCTTCTGCATTAACAAGCTACATTTTCTAAAAACTGATGCCACTGCTTTATAACAGTGCAATTTAACATAATAATAATACATGCTCTCCTTGAATGCCATCTCTCTTTTAACCCTCTACCGCACGCATTATGATAGACCTATAGAAAAAAATATTTGACTCTTTTTCTTTTCTAAGAATGGCTTAACTTGAAGTGCTGTAAAAAATGTTTTTGAAAAAAATATTATTTTAAGGTACTTTATGATATGTTGCCATATGTCAACAGCATACAATAGTGGATCTAACTTAGAATAAGTGTAAGTTTACTTATAGTTCATATTTTTCCTCAGAAATGTTGTTTGTGTTGATTCAATTGGTGCTATTATAAGCTTTAACACAATACTTACTTATAATTGACACCTTATACATACTTTCCAACAACTTGTGCTTTTATTTATTCCATTCTTTTTTGCTGAATAATGATTTATAATTTTTTAATTTCATTATTAAAAGAGGAAGAGAGGAAGACTATGAACATGAGCCCCCCCCAAACCCCCAATAATCCTTGAAAGATCACCTTTTTTAATGAATTAAACTTTAAAAAGCTGTTTTTTTCATCTGCAGGAAGAACTAGCCCCCCCAACCCCCCCCCCAAACTGAAAATTCAGCTTTGCATAACAGAAATAAATTACATAACAGAAAATTGTTATTTTAAACTGAAATAATATTAAATGTAATTAATATTACTGTTTTTTTTTTTTTTACTGTATTTTGATCAAACACATGCTGCCTTGGTACGCACAAGAGACTTCTTTCAAAAACATTAAAAATAAATCTTACTGACCTCAAATGTTTCAGCAGTAATTTATGTATGTATAGGGGTTCTATAGCAAAATATTTTAAATACTTCTGTTTATCGCTGTTGCTTATATAAATAAGTGTGGTTTTAGTTTATTAGTTCTATATAGAGTAAATGTATTTGTTCAAGTTACTGTCAATCTGAGACAATTCATTCAAAAACCCTTATTGTTTTTTTGTGTCATATAAGCACTGCTCTGATACAATTACATAGTTTCATCTGATTATATTAAAATCAGAGTATCATCATTAGTTTGAGTATCAGTATATAAGTCAGAGGCAGATTGATACAGAATATAATATATAGCAATATGAGTGTCGGTTATTACTGAAACTGCATGTAATAAACTTGTGACACCTGTTGAGTGCTTATTCTGCGATCTTATATAAAACAGAAAACGTCTCTTTTCTGTCCAGGTAATATGGGTGTTGAAATGTACATGTTTCTCCAAGAGGTAACTGAACTGGCAGCCAGATGGTCAATGTGAGAGTCTCAATAGTTATAACAATTGAAGTAATCTCTGTAGAACAGTGCTTAAGAGAGATGAGTGGAAAGTGAGCTTATTTTTGAGACCTGAAATAAATGAGCACATCTTGACTTGACCTGTAATCCGTGTCTCTTTAAATGGCACCTGCTCCGTAAGACTGTGCACAAGTTGGCAAAGCTGTGGCTGCACCGCTCGCAAACCAACCCCTCCTATGTCGTCTTCTCAAGCTGAATCTGGTTGTAGCAGGCCTAAGGGCAGAGAAAGAGATTAAAGTAAAACATGGAAGAGAATGAAAGGGGACTAGTGTGATGAGATTATCCTTAAAATTCATTCAAATCCTTAAAGGTTTTAGCTTTACAAATAAAACTTTTGGTTCGTAAAACCAGCCCTCAATATTAAAAGGGGTCATGTCATACATTATTTATTCAGTTTCAAGTTTTTAAATTTACATCAAGTGATCAAACTCAGAATTTGTCAAGAATTTTAAATGAACAAGGTAAAATTGATATTCTAATGTCATAACTTTATGATTTTAAAAGTAGTAATGTTACTTGTCCCTGAAG